AGACGGGCATATGGCAAAATGAAAGGACATTTTGAAAGAAAAAAATATCGATTACAGAGGATCCCCAAAACGTGTATTTCATTTGGAATGTCGAAATTGATTTTCCGCAGTATTACATAACTTTCTCTGTACTAAGTATATTACTCCGTCTAAGAAAGTAAAAGAGAGGTAGACAAAGCGGAACAAGCGCGATGCGCCGTCTCCATGCCATCATAAGGGGGAGAAAGGCAAAGCGATACATCGCTGCTATAAAACGGCACGAGAAGAAACAGCAGGAGAAACGATTTTTTCCAAAAAACAAGACTTTTGCTATTTTCAGAATAGAATGTACATTTTTACTTACATTCAAAGAGTAAAGGTCTATTACACAAGCTGAAAAAGTAATTTTTATTTCACCTTCATCATTAAAAATTGACACTTTCTTCTTAACTGACATTTTGGTATTCCGAAATTACCCCACCCCCTTATTTTTCGATTAACAGAGTTTCTACTGTATCATCACGATTTCAGGAATGGCACAACTAGATATTACTCCTGACGTATTCACCAAGTTTCAGCTCAAAAAGTCTAATTTAACATGGTTGTGCGCGTCACATTCTTCCATTCATCCATCCACAAAGACATACCGATTTTCGGAGACAATATTGAGTGTATCTTCTCGCTGCACCAATCTAGCCATCTTTAGAATATCACTAATAGACGTTAATCCTGACGTGAGTGGGAAGATACAGCTGAAAAGAAACTTAAACTCGGAAATTAGAGCCAAAAAATCAAAATCGTCTTGTTGAGATATCTAAACTTTTATTTTCTGTACTATTGTATAGGGAGATAAAAATTACAAATTTTGATAGAAGTTGCAGTGTTTAATGAAGCTCCGTATTTCCATTTACAAGTTATATTTTCAAAGTAAATTATTAGTTAATTGATATTCCCACTTTTCGCTACTCTACACACTTCGATTCGGGAAGTTACACCATCAGATGCCTCGGTCGAAGGCGGTTTTCTACGTTTGGTAGTGTCTTTTCTGGTGTAATTTTCTTCGCCACGATCTTTGTGGCAGTTTCTTTTCATGTCCTTCCAGATATCTATACAGACGTGGACAAATTATTAGCGAAATCATTCCTTATACTTTAAATTATGACTTTAAGGGTAAAAGCGAACTAGTTGGACAGTCACAAAATTGTTATATTTCTGTAAAATGATGTGTGTACATTCGGAGATGCAGCCCTGGTTTGAAATGTTCATCTAAGCGAATGTTTTATAACACACATATCCATTGCAATGATAGCCGTGCCATTTTAACAATACTTATGTCTCCTTGGAGACGTCTTTGGGTATCGTAATTTTTTTCTCAGCGCTCAGACGTTTGCATTTCAATCAAGCTTGCCAGAGTTGAATTGCTACTACCATCCAGTAATAAAACCATGACCGAAATTACTCGTATTGTAGGAGTTAGAGTGGCGTATATGAATAGATTTGCAAAAACGTTGTAGGAAGAAAAGCGGACCACACCTCAGAGGAAGGAAAAAGAGAACGAAAGAAGGTTTGTTTCGTTTCTTGCTAAGAAAAGCCATTTAACATCGTCTCAACCCCGAAGGGTTGTCCAAAAGAATGGAGTACAAAGTTCTCAAGAATTGTAAGTAGGAGGCTGTTTGAAGATGCCTTGAAGGTACGATGACCCTCCCAATAAACAAAAATTGACTACCTCTGTGATCAAGAAACAACTTCAATGGACCAAGTTGCACCAAGAATGGACAACACAGCAGGGGCCGAAAATATGAAGGTTATTTTATATAATTCAATGAAGAATTAAATTTCATTCTTCAAATTTAGAACATTTGTGACAGAAATAAGGAAGTGTGTGAACTGTATTAATGTGCTCTTCAATAAAATAGTTTTTACTAAATTTGGTTCGGGTTATATTCAAGGGTCAAGTCATCATCTGGGCTATGAATGACAGCCCCCAACATGTTAGAAGACGTCCAGGAGAAGCCATCGAGAAAGAATGTGTGAAATAACAAGTGACGTTTTCCACTATAGTGATGATTTGTAGGGTTATTTCAGTGTATGGACCGGGTAAAATTCACATTGTAAAAGGCAATAGGAATAGGGAAAATATTAAGAGGTCATCAGAGATGCTATGTTCCAGCAATGAGTGGCGGTTTCCAACTGAGTATGGAATATTCATGCACGATGGTGCTCCTTGCCACCGATCAAAAACTGTGAAGAGTGAATTGGATTCCAGCGATATTTGTGTGCTCGACAGGCCAGGAAATATCCCCGAAATGAATACAATAGAATCAATCAAAACATTCTACAACAAGGGAACAACTCGTGGAGTACTCATTGTTTTTTTAAACGAAGAGGAGAAAATTGCCAAATTATGCAAATTTTATTTCAAGGCATGCCCAAAAAAATTAGTTCTTTAATTAATGATATAGATGCTTATACAAAGTGTTAATAAGTTTGTAGCTTCTTCAATTCTGTAGTTTAGTTGTAAAGGTTTGAGACAATAAAGAGATTTTTCTATTAAATAGCATTTTGCTAATAATATATCCACGTCTGTATTTATTTTACTCTTGCGTTCTTTATTAATGTGTTTTAGCACGCCAAGCGCCAATCGTTTGCATGCACAGTGGGCCATCATGACTGATATATCATGTTTTCTTCATATCTTATTTTCATGTCAAACTATTAGCGAATTACATTAATTAAAGTATTAGCGAATTATTGCACGAATCGGGAAAAAAGAGTACGCTAACGATGTAGAGCGTTGATATTATTCCCTTTTTCGACGTACGTCCAATTTTAGCCTATTTTGTTGGTTACATCCTTATTCCGGCCAGTCCTACAATTAAAGACATTGCAGTGAGTTTATTGTACAAATATTGGTTGTGAATAGATCGGCGGTTTCCAACTGTTGGAACACACAGTTGTGTCGCTCAGTTGGAACTCCTGTGACAACTGGATATGGAATAGTGGAATGAGCGCCGTAAGGGAACGTGCTACTCTGAGTCTAGAGACTCTAAACGCCCACATGGAGTTTTTAATACCACGCTTTCAATGGAGCCATACGGCCCTAGACGAGGAGCTCGTCTCTTGATCGCCTTCTAGAGACGTCTCCTTCACATACATCAAGGATTCCCAACCTTTTCCTTGCATCGACCCCTATTTAAAAAAAAATGCTTGCTTCATCGATCCTCTAGCATTTTTCTGTGTAATAAAAAGTATGCTACGTTATCATTACACAATAAACTGCAAATATATGACTCACAGATAACAATTTCGCGCACAAATATTTTTTTGTTATTATTTTTTGTTACTATTGCATATAACGGTATGTTAACTATGAGATGAGATATGAGTATGGTAACTATGAGTATGATAACTATGAGAACCATATAACTAAGATATGATGATGATGATAGGGGTGTGAAAGGACGAACATAATACAACCATGCCTGAGGTGGGACTCAAACCCGCGATCCTTCGGTCCGAGTTCGCTATGGTACTACTGCCGTAGCAATCTCGGCCATCCGGACCGGCTACAAATATTTTTGAAAATATCTCATTTCCAAAAATCATAGATTCTTCCTCTTTGAAGTAGTAGAGTTGCTAATCTTCATTTTTGTGAAATGGTTGCAAAACGCGGTCCACGTTGCGCGTGTTTCAATAGCTGACCAATACACTTCTGTAGTTCGTATTGCGGAGCACGATTTCGTGCTCGATAGAGTTACGTTGGGAGGTTGTATTTATAATGGCTTCAGTTTTCCAAACATTCTAACGATGAACGATAAATGCGAAAGAACGGGAACGAATTTTTAATTTATTGTATGTTTTGTAAATGTTTATCAGAAAAGAGTTAATTATCTTTTTCTTTAATATTCCTTTAGAAATCAATGGGATCTTGATCTTTATTAGAAAGATCAGTCGTTAATTCACATTCGGCCATTGGCCCCCAGTGGACTCCTTAATCTCCATTGACCCCTTTTAAAATTTCATCGACTCCCAAGGGATCGATACCGAACCCGTTGGGAAGCCCTGACCTAGATCAAGATTGAGCGTCTCTCTTCACCCGCACGAGTCACGTCACACTCCAGCTAGGGCCAGGGCATTGGAAGACGGTAGTAGGCGCACGATGTAGTCTTACACCGCGGTCCGGTGAAAGTCCTCGTGAAGGGCCACGCCTAAATCGATAGGACACGCTCTTATCTTTTTGCAAGTTGACGCATGCCATTTATTGTATGTTAAATAAGTTTATACAATTGACTACTTTTTTTATTAAGATACATGCACGCACCAACACAGGCGAGACCAGGATTCGATTCCTAGTATCTCGGGGTGGAACTCTAACGTACCCACTGCCACACTAAAGGTCTTCTCGGACAAAGAGACATGCACGTGCCCGAGTGCGAGTCAAGTAGGAGTCGAATATTTATGCATCCGGATGTGTGATTTAATTCAGTCGTACCGGCACTGTTCCATAGTCATTGTATGTGAAGGAGGCCGCCAAGAGAAAAACAGGAAGATAAGTTGTTTCCTCCGTCTCTCCGAATTCCATCCTCGTTCAGAGTTCATTTCATTGTAGCGACGCGACATCTTGTATTCCGACAAAAATGTACTAGAACGAAAGTGTTTCAAATAAAGATGATTTTAACTTTTAGAGTATATAGCGTTAGGTAAAGGGGAAAAAATCTGAAAAATGCAATGAAAATGAAATTGTATTCTCCAACTCACAAGCAAGGAAACTTGCTCGTGTGGTCTTATCACGTAAAAGTTCCGTAATACAGGGTTTGTGCAGTCCTTTCCGGTCGCGGTTTACTTCAAGGTTTCCTATTCCTTCGATTCCGCGCACCAGTTTCGCGTTAGTCAGCTACGGCTTTCTCTTGCAATAGGAAATGATTCAACATCTACCATGGCAAATCCAAGTACATTACGTAACTGAAACATTTACTTACTCTATACCATTTAGAGGAAAACAATGGCCATATTTTCCTTACCTGAACGGGTTCAGTGAACTTCAAATGTATAGAGGCTTCTGGCTTCCGGTGGCTTACGACGAACATTTCTTCATTGGCACTGCCATCTCTATAAAAGAAATGCATAGTTTACTTATTAACATAGATGATTATTGCTTATTAACGTAAAAAAGATACACTTTCGTGTGGCGTTTGACAAGAGTAAAGGAAGACAAGAGTTTGACAAGAGTTATCACTCAGTAAAGGAAAATAATCATCGCGACATTTGTCCTTCAGTTCGTCGAGAAAGTCAGCAATTAAGATTGATTGGAACTGAAAACAGGTACCCACAAACATCTAGATACTAATTCCAGAGATATTTTTAATGTTTTCGTGGAATTGTATGCATATATAAACTGTGAGTACGGTCTAAACTTGGCAATGCAATATTACTTATGCAAGACAATGTTACCAGCCTATGATTCTATCCTCGATGTGCTCCACTGATTTGTCTATCAGCAGCTCAAAATCCGTGGTGAACTAAAAGGCTACGAAATGACTGATGTCGCATCTGTTGGGCTATTAAGAGGATATATTACAGAAGATTTATAATAATGAAATTCAGTAATGTTCCCCGCTCCTCTCCAGCAACATATTCGAGGTCTGTTTAGGGGAACATTTGGAAGTGTTGATGTTAAGCACACGTTTTTAAAATAATTACGCGCCTTCTCCGATTCAAATATAGCACATCACCTCCATCACATAGACTAACGGTGTTACAACACCATACAATTAATCGCATTATTGTTAAATTTTGTGATTTTAGAAAATTCAGACATTTTTAAACGTCCTTTCTCTATTCGAGGGAAAAAACTGAAAGAAAAAAATTGGTGGTTTTTAAGATGTATTTTATGTTACCTTTACTTCCAGCAAAAATTACGCGAAACTGCTCATTTTCCAAAGAATTGTAAACAACTTTACTTAAATATCTATTTTTAGAAGACATTGTATTTTCTAGAAATCAACAGTGTGCTTTTGCAGTATTAATTGTTTTGCAATTCTCAGAAGTACAGAGTTAAGCGACAATGAGACCTGCGTTATTTTTCAGCATTTGTTGCTATATCCCAGGAAAAATTTAAAGACGAAAATTGAAGCCTTTTTTTAAGCAAACGTGTTTAACAATTACCTATATTTCAAGCAAAATTATGCGAAAAGTATAATAATATTTTCGACAAATTACATGACCTTTCTTCAAGTTCTGTCTATAAAGAACAGTTTTCATTAAGGAAAAAATATATGTCTTCAATATTGTAGTTGTAGCACGTCACCAAAAAAATTCGAACATTTGCGATTTTCAAAAATTGATTGATTTCATGGGAAATGAAACGTGACAACAAGAAAAGTGACATGCATTGGTAACAAGTGTGAAATATTATAGTACAAGACATTGCTCATATTTCACACAAAGTTACGCAAACACTACTCATATTTTCGAAAAATAGTTAATGACCTTATCTGAAGATTTGTCTTTAAGGAACAGACTTCATAAAGGAGAAAAAATCTGTCCTCAGTATTACCTTTGTAAAAAGATGAGAGATTTCATCGATTCTGAGATTTCACCGAAAACGAGAACTGTGCAATTTTTAAGCGTCCTTTGCGGTATCCGAGGAAAAATTTCGAGCCATGAAAAAATTAAGGAAATATTAATGTTTCATGTAAAGTACCCTCAAAAATTAAAATAAAAAATAAAAATTAAAAAACGTTTCAAACTCGCAGGGAATTGAGTTCGTTCAGGTCGATTGGGGAATTTCGAGTTTGGAGAAAGTTGCTTTAAAAGATTTAGGCGCTAGCGTTGACCACGCGCAGCCAGCCAGACATTTTGCCGTTAACCGATATTTGGAGATCACGGATCTACAAAACTTACATGGATTCTCACTACATGTGTTACAGGAAGTAGTTTACTACATACAGGAAAAAGATTTATCCAGCTTTTCATTTCCAGTATTCGAAGATTTAAAAAAATTCTGTCGAAAAATCTCCGATTTTGTACTACGTATGCAGTTACGCGAAAGTGAAAGTAGACGATTTTCTTAACATAATTATTTACTTAATTCAAAAATGACGATTTTTGAGATGAGTCACTTTCTTGGGCACCGACAATGTCAGTAACCGAATAAATCAATCATGAATATTTCCCGATATTGATATGTTTTAAAGTTTTTAATCAATACTTGATTTTGAGGAAAATTCCCCTTTTTGGTATGCCCTATTCCTTTAGTGAGGCGCGCTGCTTGCTGCATGGCGTGGGCGTGGGCGTGAGCGTGGGCGCGACGCGCATGCGCTGGTTGGCCTGCACACGGTCTCGTGCATGGTGCACGTGCCGCAATGGAGCCCGCGTGCGCCGTTTGATCCCGAGTGTGAAACGACGTGGGTGCGCCGCCGGCGCAGCACCCCTTCGCAGAGGAGAGTGAAACGGGGCTGCTCGCAGCGCCGCGGCGGAGGGGAAAGGGGAGCGCGTTCCTTTTCTTCGCGTCTTCACTGCCGAGACTTCTCTCATGCGCTCGAGGGAGCAGGGGAGGGTGCTGTGAAGGCGCGCTAGTAGGGAGAGTAATTTAGCCGGGAGAGCCGAATATGAATTTTACCCCAGGAATGCAACAGGAATGTGAAGGATTTTTCAAAAATATATCTCGTATGTACATAAAACTCAAGTCAAATTTCTCTCTCAGCGAAATGTTATAATCTTTTCGGTTCATTGATTGATTAATTATTTCATGTTTTCGGACGTGTCAACTACTATAGTTATCAGTCCCATAAATTTAGTTCGTATTATCACGGAGGGTGTTGGTGTTTCTCCCCGATGCATGGTGAAAAGCGGCGCCGACCTACACGTGGGCTTACGGGGTTTTCCCATCCAGTTTCGCCCACCAGCGAGGCACCGTCCCAACCGGCATAAGCTATAAGCTTCCAAATTGTGTGGTAGTTTAGTGCTCCTGTGTATGTGGAAGCAAGGATATAACAAATAACACGAAGGAAAGATCGCGCGCGGTCCGTGGCCCGTTTGTTAACCCGGGTACTGCTCCGGCATTCACCTGGTTTTGATCAGAGAAATCACAGAAAACTGCCAATGAGAGCAGCATTCCACTAGAACTCTCCTCCAGGCTGTGGTGATGCTACATCAGCATATATTTTCTCACATTATTTGTAACGGCTTCTCTATATTATTGTAACGTATTAGCCAGCGTGCCTCATGGCATCTATTTGGGGACGCTTGGTTGCGGATTAGTCTCGCCACAGGAAGTAGGGTTTTTCCGTAAAGGGAAGAACGCGGAGACGGGAGACACAAGGCTTTGGGTGTCTTCCGGCTTATAGCAGCTTTTCACTGTTATAACAAGCGAGGGGGTGGCGTGACGTAGGAGGTCACGTGGGCCTCGCCTATATAACAGCGTGTACGGAGCCAGTAGGCAGGTTCTGGAGACGGTGGGAGAACCTCGTGCGTGTGCACAAAACTTGGCGCCAAGACGGTGCATATGCGAGCCAGGCTCGCGAGGCTGGAGTCATTAGTTGACGAAGCCTGCGGACTTTATGTCCTTGGGTGACTGCGGTCACGGGGGAGCGATGCTGTGTGCGTGCTCCGAGGTGAAGAGTGGTTGAGTGCCACGATTCACGCCGATTCTCAATCGGATAAGATCGCTCCTGCGATCGAGGCAAACCAGCCGTTGGTGCGCCAGAACGGACTTTGTGTCCCAGCGTGACATCCGGTCACGGAAGCTAGGCTTTGTGCGCGCTTCAAAAGTAGGAGTGGCGAATGCCACAATCAAAACCATCTTCAATCGGGTTTTGGATCGCTCCCGCGATCAGGGGATAGTAGGTCTATCAGAGCTAGGGTTTAAAGTGATTATTAAGTGTATATATTTGTTTTGTTTTCTTGTTAATAAATATATTTGTTATACGAAAGCTCTGTGTCTGTGGTCGCTGTGAGTATCCATGACGTCACATTATACTACATGAACCTGCAAACCTTGCAACCAGCGATTTTTTTTCTCCGCACCAAGTTCTAAATCAGGACAATGGCCTCAATTTTTCGAAAATTCAAAAAGTTCAACGATTATTACATCTGCGCCTTTTCTAAATCCTTTTTCTCTCTCCGTGAAAAAAATTTAAAAAATTGAGATGTTCATGAGAAAATGTTTTTTTTAATTGCATCAACATCAAGTAGAAATTACGCGGAAACTACACTTTTTTACAGAAAAAGTATTACATTACCTAATTAAATATTATATATTAAAATTCAATTTCATTCACTTTCTTGCATAGATTCAAAATAATATTGAATAATTTAATACCCTCTCTTTCTATATTTCATTTCTTAAAATATTACATCTATTTTTTAATTTTTTTTAAATACTAGTAATATATTAAACCTAATGTTTTTGTTTTTGATTCATGTTTTAATTTGTTTACATTTCGTGTACAAGAAAACTGATGATAATGGCTAAGCTATTGAAATCTCCTTTTGAAATAAACAATATTGTTGGCATTGAGAATTCATAATTATTTCTGATATACCGAACTTTCTATGTGTACCTTGCCTAAAGCTTGTCAATTGAAAAGTAGTTTCTGAATTAACAGTTTGTACGGCATTTGTTGTTACATTCTCCAAAGTTACTTGAGAAAGAAGTCAGCCTTGTACTACAAAATTATGAAGGGAGAGTGAAGTGACAAGAATTCTATGCGCGACGCAAAAAGTTCATACCAGTGAGGCGTGTTAGTTGAATCCTACAAAAGAAATTTTCATATGTTCTCAGGTGATTCGTTCAACCAGTGAGTTGAAGATTTCCAAGCCAAAATAATGGAAAGTTAGTTATTAAACCTAAAATTAATGTCTGTAAATCTGTAACCATTGAAAGAAAAGTTCAATTAGACAGAGTTAGTACAAAATAATTGGTTTTCGCGTATCGTTGACCAAACAAATATAGAACACAGACGCTTCGGTCTAAAAATAAATTTAAGACCATCTCCATATACATAAACATTAAATGAGCGTAAACATAATGGGCCAAGACCTATTCATTGTTATTCAATTTGCCCATTACGATGGGCTCCGCAGTGGCCAGTGATAAGCGTCTAAAGGGGTCGAGGCATATGTTGTCAGTGCATGTAATAACATTGTTTTGTGTACCTAATTGTTCAGAGCAATTTACTCAGTACCACAACAGAAGAAAACAGCTCGACAACTTAGGGCAAACACAAGATATAAGGTCCATGTTTGTCCCACGGTGAAGTGCGCTGTTTAAGTTCATATTTCAGCAATGCTAACTACTTTGCTCGGGTCATAGATATATCCTTCTTCTCGATATCGGAATTGGTATTCTCCGCCGTACATACCCACAACGGAATCCAACATCTGTAGCAACCGTACCAAGATCAAATTCATCGTCTGCAGCAACAATATAAACAACAACAACAAGAACAGCTTCTTCAAAATATATATTCAAAACGCAGAAGAGGGAATGGCAACAGCAAACACCTTTACGATATTTTCATTTAACCTTATCAAGCGGTCTCAAAGAAGTTTCTTAACCAACTTTTGCAGCGAGCACTGTGTTTCAAGTCATTCTACTACAAATAAAACGAAAAGAATACATCAGGTTAACAGCTGAACAACCCAATGCTTATGCTAATGTACCAACCTCAAAAAGATTCAGCCCTTTAGAAATTTTATCTGACTGTCAACCAGACCACCTTCCACACTTACGTACAACAAGGAAATACCGCATCTGAACCTTCTCCAATTTTTATTCATAAAGTCAATCCAGCCGACTTTAAAATTCCGATCAGTTCGCGCTTAGCCTCCGCCTGAGCCAGTCGTGTGCTCCCCACCGCGCCGCGCAGTCACCGGTGAATAAGGACCCCTCATGCGCCCTTGTGGGACCGGCTGCAGTGCTCTGAAGTTGTTTCTAGTGGCAGTGTTTTTCGAAAAGCGTCGTGAAACTAGTGTAAATAAAATTGGGGAAAGTCAACGTACGCAAACAGTTTCCTCACAAGGTGCAAATTATTGACTATCCACTAATTGCATTACGCAACCCTGCTCCGACATCTCAGAAGAATATAAATGTAAAAATCTTGAAACCAGCGGACAATGGAACCCGATGAGAAACCATCCATGTTTCAACAGCACCAGCACCAGCACCAGCAAAAATTACCACAACTAGCCTCAGCATTAACAAACGTTGCAACAACAATTACCAAAGCTGAGCTACAGACGTTGCAAAAATTACCACTGCCACAGACGTTGCAACTACAATTACAACAGCCGTGGCAACAACAAAATGTACTTGACTGTCAACTTTCACAACAGCGAAGCCAGCAAATATCCTCCAATCAACAGTTCGTTATTGAAGTTTTATTTCAACACCAACGGAAAAGCAACAAATGAAGAATGATAACCCATAAATAAATTGTGAACTATGTGAATTCAAATAGTGCCATAAACCAAGATCTTCCAAAGCCCTCAACAGCAGAAACTACAACTTCATCGCAATCAACAAGAGAAGAAACTGATCAGAATATACACATCAACAAATCCTCGAACTACAAAGATAGGAACATGAAGTAATATTTCCAAAGTCGTCCTATTCACAAATGGTCACTACACATGTCTCAGAGGTATCACCAACAACTACAGGCATAGACGCGTAATGCAGGTAACGTACTCATCTTATTCACCTTTACAAAGCCATTTTAGTATTCTGCTTGAATATAGGTGTTGTGGTGCGTTATCGTTGGCATTTTTCATGAAATAATTATAAACGTTGTCAATGCCAACAATAGTATTTAATATAAGAGCTACTTTAGTCGTTTCGTGGCTTCCATTCAGCAGACAACTGATGATGATGGCTAAGCCATCGAAAGCTGCTCTTATATTAAATACTATTGTTGGCAATGACGTTTATAATTATTTCATTCTGCTTGAAGTTAAAAATGTCCTACAGCCACCTAAGCTGTATAGAACAAAATATTTTAAGGTACAAAGTATTCTACGTATGTAGTATTCAATATTAATATAGTATTCTACTATAATTCTTCTATATTTTATGTATTTCTACTATAGTTCAGTACCGACAAAATGATTTCTTGATAAATTTCGTGGATAAAATTTGGAAAGTGTATTTGATAACTCCCAATGACTACAGAAATGTTATACATCAGTAACAATCTAAAAATTTAGAAATTCTTATGTTTCATGATCCATCCTCATCAGAAGCTGGTGTCAGCTGATATATGGGGTGCTCGTAAGCACGTGTTTTCTCAGTTCATGTATAAATCCACCTCTGTATACCACATACACATTAAAACACGGTCGCTATCAGATATAGTATTACGATTTCCATACATCTAACATGTTATGTACGCGAACAAAAACGCAAGGGTTAATTGATTGTTTTAGGAGTGATTTTCCTCTTCAGGACGTGATTTTACACCTAATTGTCTCCTATATGTTTGATCAGTAGTCCGATTTTCAAAGTGCTGTTTTTTTCTGTCAAGAGAGACGTATACGAAATTTTCCAGGTAATTTTTTATCAACAATTTTAAAAATAATGTTATTACAAATTAAAGTCGAGAAAACGTGTACCGATAGTGAAAATACATTTATGTCCAGAAGCAGGCATGGGTTCATTTCAGCATTAGCTCAAAGCATCAGGGAAAATGGATGAAAAACCTGATCGAGATGGGGTTCATTGACCCAGAAGCTGAGGTACAATTCTATTTACAGTTTTATTTAGTCCTTTCCAATCATACGGTGTAAATAGTAACTAAAATAAAAAAATACCAATGTTAAAATCAATATTACTTTCGTTTTTGATACTCGGTATACTCTCTAATTGGGTGAAGCAGATATGCAGGAAAACAAGATTTGGCACTTAAACGTGGGTATCTATTTTATTCCTTTAATGTCTTCTGGCAATCTGTTGGAAAATAATGTACAAGTACTTTATGAGAATTTTTTGTAGTGAGCTGTTGATACTGACACCTGATGAATATGATTATTAACGTCAAGTGTTTAAGTTATAGACATGTGTATTCTATGAAAATATGTTTCCACTCCTGACAAAGTCATTTTTGATAAAAAAAAACACCAATTCATCAATGAAGAGACAAGGACATGACAGAATTCCGCGCTAAATAAAGAGAGGCCAAGAATCTCGTGGGTGGGATTTGCTTATTATTGGCACTTTTCTGTACTCTGGAAGTGGGAGCTATAGGATGTGATTCTCAGAATATTATATATGTTAGGAGGGAATGAAAATTCGTGAAAAATTCCCAACAAGCATCATTACGACTAACTGAATTTGTTAGAATTCTGAACGCATATACCATAACAAACTTAATTTTGTGCTCAATTCATTTAAATGGACATTTAAATGAAACTGGATTTGGAAATATCGTTTATCTTAACATCAGTCAATTGAACGGCGTTCATTTTCAATGGAGAATACAATTGTTATTAAAACTTGTAAACTGCATTGAAACTAGTTTTCCTTTATTTACTATTAATTAGTTATTACGGAGCCAATTTCAACATATGATATTGTATTATTCACCGTTTTTTTTATTGCGAAGAATATTCGAATCATCTACAAAGAGATCTGTTCTTCGGTTTCGTATCGTCGAGGGCATATCGTTTACGTATAATCGAAAAAGAATATGGCATATACGCGAATCCTGTGGGACCCATAGCACAACAAATATTTAAACAAACGAACTAGTCCTTGAGATTCATTCGAATATGTTAGTCAACACTAGTTGATTTAACTTTAACTATTATAAGCTAGCTATTATAAGCATGGAACTTTGTACACACGTATTCATAGGTCTATGAATATAACATGCTGCAATGTGGCTGTGTTCTGTTACAAAATCATGCAAAATAAACTAACATAATCAACTATCACGAATAATATATATTTGCGTCTCTAACTCATTGAAGATAATGTATATATATATATATATATATATATATAT